CCAGATTGGAGAGGGTGCAGGCTGGGCTGAGGGACACCCCCTCCCCCCAGTGTACGAATTTCGTGCACCGGGCCTCTAGTTGTATATAAGTAATTAAGTTGATCTTGAAAATTTTCTCTCCTTCCCACCTCTCCACCCTTATATGTGACTTCCTCTGTGTTTATACATACCAAGGACAGTGATGATCCATCTTAAGAATACATCTAAAAAACAAATAAACATAATTCTCATTGTTGATAATTTTTTCCCTTACATTTTTCTCTTTACAAATACATCTTAGAAAAACCAACCAAGTAAGCATTAGATTAGAGAAATTTTCTGATATTTTCACCAATACTTTCATAGGTAAAAGGTAATAGTTTTCTGCCTTGGACCACATTAAGAGACAGGCATTTTAACACACAGATATGATGCACTTGGTACATTAGCTAGTCCAGCTCACAGATCAGCTAAGGGAAATGAAATGAAATACAGACAATCCCTATTTTAAATCTGTGCAAGTCATAAGAAGAAAACTTTAGAAGCAACTATGTTAAAATATTAATACTGATGGGCTTATATGTGGTTATTTTTTCCACATCCTATATAATAAAAGCCTAATATGCAAATCGACCGAACGGTGGAACAACCAGATGCTATGATGCGCACTGACCACCAGGGGGCAGACGCTCAACGCAGGAGCTGCCCCCAGCCTGCAGGACCAATGGTGGTGGCGGGGGGCAGGGCTGGCAAGCGGGCAGCACCAGGCCAGCCAAGGCGGGTGCCAGCGGGGGCTCCCCCAATCGCCCCACCGGTCACCCCACAGATTGGTCCTGATTGCCAGCCAGGCCTAGGGACCCTACCCGTGCATGAATTTCATGCACCAGGCCTCTAGTATTTTATAAAATTCTATCCATGGATAAGCATTACTATATTTTTATAATTTAAAAAAAAATCCCAAAATTTGCCTCCCTGCCAGTATATGTAATCTATCTATATATGAAAGCCAAAGCGACCATTCGATCGGTAGCTATGACGCACACTGACCACCAGAGGGCAGATGCTCAGACTGGTAGGTTAGCTTGCTGCTGAGGTCCAGCCAATTGGGACTGGGCAAAATGGGCCGGACATGCCCTGGAGCCCTCCCGCGGCCCTCCCCGGCCCCGATCATGCACCAGGCCTTTTGTATATTTATAAAGTCAGACCACAGATCATCTCCATTAACATAATAAATGATAAAGTTAAACCCAGAAGGTTAAATAACTTGTCTAACTCAAGTTCAAGAATTAACTGGGATTCCCAAACTAGGGATCTTTCCTTCCAACACATTATCTTCTAACAAGTGCACAGGAATAAAATCTTTTAAGTTTTTTCTGGGAACAATGTTACAGATGAAAATTAAAGAAATATTTTTTTGTGTGTGGCTTGTTAGGTTTTAATATCAACATTTATAATAAAAAACAAAAAAATTAACATTTCAATCCAGGAAATAGTTATTCTTAAGGGGGTAATTGCTTACTTGTTCATCAATATTATATTAAGCATAAACATAAAAAATATATTTAAAGAAAACTCCATCAGCCCTGGCTGGGTGGCTCAGTTGGTGGAAACATCGTCCCATACACCAAAAGTTTATGGGTTCGATTCCTGGTCAGGACACATACCTAGGTTGTGGGTTTGATCCCCAGTTGGGGATCGTACGGGAGGCAACCAATCAATGTCTGTCTGTCTGTCTGTCTCTCTCTCTCTCTCTCTCTCTCTCTCTCTCTCTTTCTTCCTCTCTCTAATAACATATATCCTCAGGTGAGGATTAAAAAAAAAGAAAATTCCATCAACCAGTATAGGAACTATTATTAAAGATTACGTCAAAGTATATTCTAGCTTATGGAAATATTAATGTTAGCCCACATATATAGCAAATAATGGGAGAGGATGAAGTGTTTTTGCTAAGTATAAAGCATATAAAATGTTCCTTCCCCTTCTGTTCTCCTGTCACCAATTTCCAATGCTGGGGTTAAAGGAAAGCAAATGAGGGTAACACTTACATGTCACATGCTGAGCAGTGATGCGCCCGGTCAGGTTTAATCAACTGACATCTTTCACAATATCTGATGGCTACATTTAAGAATTAAAAGGTGTTGAAGGATATACAAGTTTAGTTAATTTGACTATAAAATTTGCTTTCATTTCTTGTATAAATAACTCTGGGGAAATGGACAACTAATAACTCTGTCATCAGTTTTGATACTAGTACGCCCAATGACTAGCTCAGGGGTGGGCAAACTTTTTGACTCGAGGGCCACAATGGGTTCTTAAACTGGGCCGGAGGGCCGGAACAAAAGCATGGATGGAGTGTTTGTGTGAACTAATATAAATTCAAAGTAAACATCATTACATAAAAGGGTACGGTCTTTTTTTTTTTTAGTTTTATTCATTTCAAACGGGCCGGATCCGGCCCGCGGGCCGTAGTTTGCCCACGGCTGGACTAGCTGATGACCTTGGGCCAGTAACTTACATTCTAAGAGCCTCCGTTTCCTCTTCTGTAAATGTAAATAATATCAATTATAATGAACTAGTTTGCAGATTAAAATGAAACCTTTGAACATAGCAGATTCTCAATAAAGCAGTTATCACTATAATAAAAATATTATTTTTAATAAAATATAAAGTAAAATTCTATGATGAGAAAAATTAGTGAAGGAGAGAAAACCAGGGAGATAAAAAGTGCACATAGCCCTAACCGGTTTGGCTCAGTGTATAGAGCGTCGGCCTGCGAACTGAAAGGTCCCAGGTTCGATTCCGGTCAAGGGAATGTACCTTGGTTGTGGGCACATCCCCAGTAGGAGGTGTGCAGGAGGCAGCTTATCGATGCTTCTCTCTCATCGATGTTTCTAACTCTCTATCCCTCTCCCTTCCTCTCTGTAAAAAAATCAATAAAATATATTTTTTAAAAAAGTGCACACAAATAAATACATAAATGAATAAATAAATAAAGTACAAATAGCCATGAAAGAGAACACCCAGAAATAGAGTCACTCCACAGACATCTCTTGATGCCTGTTTATTGAGACACTGTGTTAGAGACCATGGGAGAACTCTTGGCTGCCAGAGGCTTAAAGTCAGTAAAGTGAGAAGGACATCGATAACTAAAAGGCTTTGACTTATAGTCTACAAGGTAAAAATTTGAGATGTTCTGAGAAGACTCACTAAATCACTTCTTGTTAAAGTGAAAAAAGTTGCAGAGAGGTGGACAGTGAATTAAAACTTTAAACTGGATTTAAAGGGAGAAAAATAATCATTCCAGGAAGACACAACAACCAAAAGAAAAAAGAAAAAAAAAAGGTGGGGAAGGACAACTCCACCTCTGTGTTAGCAGAGTTAACACAAGAAAACAGTGTGGAACAAAGCTAGAGATAACGGCTGGTTGGATCGAGATTGGAGGGGAGAAGGTTTAGAAAGACACATTTTGTTTCCTGAATAGATAATAATATATCCACACAGCTCGAAAAAGCACACACAAAAGAATTCAGTGAGAAGACCCCACTCTGATGCCCAGCACCCTAACTCCCCTCTGTGAAGGCAGCTCCATACTTTCAATGATCTCTGGTCTATGAAAGGTCGACTTTCTGTAACATGTTTCTGTAACTTTGTTCTTTAAAGATCTATAGGTATTGCTTCTATAGCAAGAAAAAGAAAAAGCCCCAGCGTTTGTGATTCTAAGCAGTAGAAATGCAGTATAAAATAGTTCCCCAGAGCAAGACCTGCCAGCAGTCAGAAGATAAGGCACATATCCCAGGCCTGGCCACTTGGGACGCTGGGTATTTCTCACTGTGCCTCACATCTCTAAAATGAGGACAAGTGCAGCACCCATCTCAGAATTGTTCTGAGGATTAAACAATCACCAATAAAGTGCTTGGCCTGATCCTGATGTAGTATTCAATAGATGAAGCTATTATTCAGATTAGAGGGCAGCCATTTTATGTAATGAAAAGGAGTAAAGCTTTTTTAAGAGTAAAGATTTTAACCCTGGCTGGTGTGGCTCAGGTGGCTGAGCGTTGTGCAGTGCACCGAAAGGCTGCCAGTTCAATTGCTGGTCAGGGCACATGCACGGGCTGTGGGCTTAATCCTCTGCAGGGACGATGATCCATTCTCAAACCGATGTTTCTCTCTCCCTCTCCCTTCCTCTCTAAAAACCAATAAAAATATTTTTTTTAAAAAAGAGTCAAGCCTTAACTGGTTTGGCTCAGTGGATAGAGCATCGGCCTGCGGACTCAAGGGTCCCAGGTTCGATTCCGGTCAAGGGCATGTACCTTGGTTGCAGGCACATCCCCAGTAGGGGGTGTGCAGGAGGCAGCTGATAGATGTTTCTCTCTCATCGATGTTTCTAACTATCTATCCCTCTCCCTTCCTCTCTGTAAAAACATCAATAAAATGTATTTTTTTTAAAAAGAGTCAAGATTTTACATCATGGCTCTTAACTCTTTGGAGCACATGTACTGCTCAGATGACCTTGTTATGAATAGGCTATTTGAAATTTTGTGTAAAACCTCAGGGCTTCCTAAATTCTTTGAAATCTTGGACTTTGGGTTAAACACATCTAATCTGCAGAGAAGTATTGTTAACTACTAAGAATTATTATTAACCAGACCTTTCTTAATTAAATATAAGAAAGGATTGCCCTGGCTGATGTGGCTCAGTTGGTTGGGCAATGTCCATGCACCATAAGGATGTACCATAAGGTTCTATCCCTGGTAAGCGCACATGCTGGGGTTTAGGGCTTGATCCCTGGTAGGGGACGTACGGGAGTCAGCTGATCGATGTTTCTCTCTCTCTCCCTTTTCCTTTCTGTCTCTCTCTAAAAACCAATAAAAATATTTTTTAACAAAGGATTATTTTAAATTAGCTATCATATATTGAAAATTCATTATGTACAAAGATCTATACTAAGTGCATATCTCATCTATGTTTCTCATTTAATACTTCCACTAACCCAGAGATGTAGATATTATCCTCATTTTAAAATGAGGAAACTAGGGCTTAGAAAGTTTAACTAACTCTCATTGTACTACTAGTAATAGGAAAGTTGGGGTTTGATCTGAAATCCATGTTTTCATTCCATATGGTAATATACTAAATTATGTAAGAAGGACAGCATTAAATGCATAAAAAAAAAACCGAAAAACTTGGTCAAATATCCCCTCCAAAAATCTTGTGCAAACTTTAAAGTTTCTGAACTCACAATGTGTATATAACTATACACAGGAAAAATCTTTTCTTTCCCATTGGGTGGAGAAGCATTGGTGGGTCCTGAAGCCAGAGCACTTTGATTTAAACCCATTTTTTTTACATATATCTGTGTGACCTTGAAAAAGATGCTTAAGCCCATTGTGTCTCAGTTTCCTAATCTGTAGACAACAGTATCACCCTCACAGGATTATTGTGAAGTTTAAATGAGTTTATAGGTACAAAGCACTTAGAACAGAGTAATTGTTAGCTATTACTATTATCTAGTATTTAATGAATTCATGAGTTACATGATACATAATTTAAAACAGACTACTATATTTAAATAATCAGTTTGGCCACTCATAGTTTCACCCCTATCATAAGGTTCTGTCCCTGAGAAAAGGAAGCTGCTACTGCAGTCACATATCTCTCAATGGAGGCAGTGGGACAGTGGAAATACCAACAGCTTTGGCACCACACAAACCTGAGTTCAAATTCTGGCTCTGAATATTAGCTTCTACTTCTCTCCTCTCTAATTTAGCATGTTCTTGATTTTTTATAATTACTCAGAGATGACACATAATATTCAAACTCAAACCAGAATTTCCAAATGATAGTTTACTAAGAATCATAACTGAAACTTTTAGCCATAAAGGTGAAGTTGGGAAAAAAAGAATATGTAGAGAAAAAGAGACTCATATTAAAGGGAACCTCTTAAAAAATCTGTATCAGTATATGTACATATCTATATCTAAAATATCACAGAAGACAGAACATTAGAAAAATCTTATTCTTGCCTATGTTATTTTAGGAATTGCAATATCCATTTAATAGTCAAATCATGCAAATAAATCTTGGCAGGTATGACCATATTTTTAAAAATGCTTTGAGCAGAAAAGCTTAAAATTTGTTTTTCTTACTCCTTGAGCCTGATGTGGTGTAGATAGGTAAGTCCTTCGCTGTTCTTCTCAAAATTTCTTGTTGTCGTTCTTGGCTGAATTCTTTTTCATAATGTTCCCTTTCAGAATTGGACAAGTAGAACTATAAAAGTAGAAATAACTATTAATACATTGAATCCCAAAATTATTAACTATCGGGCTCAGAAAAAACAAAGTTTTATCCAGAACAGAAAAAAAAACACACACACGAAAAAATTTTCTTCTATGAAGGCAAAATTTGTCTTCAAATTTCTTTAAGAAGCTAAATCAATTATATTTTAACTATACTACATACTTTCTTTCCTTGTCCCTTTGGTTTTTTTTTTAATCTTTATTGTTGAAAGTATTACATATGTCCCCTTTTTTCTCCTACTGACCCCTTATAGCCCGCCCCCGCCCCTTGCCTCCACCACCCTATTGTCTGTGTCCATGGGTTATGCATATATGCATACAAGTTCTTTGGTTGATCTCTTCCCACCCCGGATCTATTTTGTTCAACAGTTTATTTTGTTCATTAGATTCCACATGAGTGAGATCATGTGATACTTGTCTTTGTCTGACTGGCTTATTTCCCTTAGCATAATACTCTCCAGGTCCCTCCATGATATCTCAAAGGGTAAGAGCTGCATAGTATTCCATGATAAAACTACATACTTTTGATAGATTAAAAAATATTTGCTCTACTTAATGATGGCAAAGAAGATCCAACTAAATATTTTTGCATCTTTGTTTCTTTACAGAGAAAATTTAATTCCTCCAGCAAAAAGGTAATGAAATAGGTAGCAGTAAAAATTTTGGTGTTTAAAAGTTAGTATCAAGAGATTTTTAATTTTTGGAAAAATGTCTGAACTACGCATAGTCTCTTTTTCTCAAGCAAGGACTCCTTTAGGTAGTGGTTTCTAGTTTTCATTTCCTAAATATTTATTCCCATGGTGTATTCTGCCTGTAGTTCATCTCTTAAATAGCATTTTCCCTAAAAAGGACGTCAGTTGCTCTTCTGATATCATCCCAGAAGACTTATTTCACTTCGCATGATTTTAAGGAACCCCAGTTTTATGCTTCTATTCCATGTAACCAGGAACTTTACATTTCTATCAGTCTTTATTTCACAGAAGTCTTTTAAAACTCAAAATGACTTGAGACTTGCTCTTAATCATGTTTTATATTTTAACAATACTCTTACTCAATTTTTACTTAGGTACACGGTTTTGCTCGAAAGGCCTAAGGAATCATGACTGGAATTTTAACCTTGTATATTTACACTAGAGGCCCGGTGCACGAATTCATGCACGGGTGGGGTCCCTAGGCCTGCCGGTGATCAGGGCCAATCGGAGCCATCTCACCCAGTCCCGATTGGGGCCTGCTGGCCAGGGGGAAAAACCTCGGGAGGTTGGCTGTGGGAACGCACTGACCACCAGGGGGGAGCTCCTGCATTGAGCAACTGCCCCATGGTGGTGTTCATCATAGCGACTGGTTGACCAGTCATTCAGACGTAATGGTCACTTAGGCTTTTATTTTATTTTTTTTTTGGATATTTTATTTTGTTTTTTTTAATTGTTTTATTGCTTAAAGTATTACAACGAGTATTATATATGTCTCCTTTTTTTCCCTCCCCTTGACCCTCCCGTAGCCTCCCATGCCCCCCAGTGTCTTGTGTCCATTGGTTATGCTCGTATGCATGCATACAAGTCCTTCGGTTGATCTCTTACCCCACCCCTCTGACCCCCCAACCCTCCCCAGCCTTCCCGCTGTAGTTTGACAGTCTGTTTGATGTTGCTCTGCCTCTGTATCTACTTTTGCTCATCAGTTTATAATGGTCTTAATTATCCATAAATGAGTGAAATCATGTGGTATTTTTCTTTCATTGACTGGCTTATTTCACTTAGCATAATGCTCTCCAGTTCCATCCATGCTGTTGCAAATGGAAAGAATTCCTTCTTTTTTAGAGCAGCATAGTATTCCATTGTGTGGATGTACCACAGTTTCCTAATCCATTCATCTGCTGATGGGCACTTAGGCTGTTTCCAAATCTTAGCTATGGTGAATAGTGCTGCTATGAACATAGGGGTGCATATATCCTTTCTAATTGGTGTTTCTGGTTTCTTGGGATATAT